ATCCATAAGAACTTGACATTTTCTCTTTAAAAGGCAGAGCAGCAGGTAAGTTGCTAATGGGTCAATTATAAAGGTAGAAAGTGACTGTTTGCACGAGGAAGGAACCTAATTGGGTTCCGAAACGTTGCCACACACTGTGAGACGACTATGTGAATGAAGGGAACCTGATGTTCTGAACTTTGGAGCGTCTGATTTCTTCGATTTATGGATTGATGTGTGGCACCATCCACATTTACTGTTGCACCCTCCCATTACCAGTTGGGATTGAATTCTGGTAAGGAGTGTTATGGGATATGGACACTTAAATATAAAAGTAGGACTGCATCACCTATGCTTTGGTTTAGGTCATGACAGTGCCAAAGAGGATGAAGAAAAATAAATAACAAATGAGCTTTCATACTTTCCATTTTTTGTTTTAGGGCTCACTCACAGCATAGCATTGTGCTGAGCGCACGTTACCATGGGTTTGGCACACACTATCGCACAGTACAGTACCGCGCTAGGCGAGTTGTGTTCATTTGCTATTCATTTGAATGGCACCTCAAAACATCTGGCAGCCATGCATTGCAGCACAACGCACGGAATGCCAAAACCATGTTTTGTGGTGGAAAAAGCAGTGCATGCCAAGCTTAGTGCAACACTCTGCAGTGAAGGGACCGTTAATGCAAAAATAATATTAAAAGGTCTGGTTTAAAATGAAGAATCACAGCTTGCCATGTGATCTTCAGCTTTGTAATGGCTGTCTAGTTTAAAAACACATGAGGGGGCAATTCAGCCAATCTGAAATATATATTGGAACATGTTGCAACTAAAGCTGGCTACAGGAGGAACTTTATGAATTTCTCCTGGAAAACAGCAGTACACTTCCTAGTATGCAATGGTGGCTTGGCAGCCCTAAACTTTCATAGCTGTATATCTGCTATGCGAGATCTAAGGCTCTGCTGCCAATGACTACTAGTGTCAGGTGATTTGGTGACATCACTACTGTTCACGGTCTTCTTGATATATATAGATATA